TTAACACAACTATTTTATGGTCAGTGTCACATAGACCATTAGGGATTGCTCTTGAATCAAGAATTCTCCTTCTTCCTTGAACTCAGGTAAGTATAAAGTCAATCTGGCACTTGATGGAGACATCATTCCATTTGTACCAAGTGTAAAGTTGTGAATCTCTATGGTCAAAGAATGTGTTCGTAATAAAAAGATTGTGCTGGCTGCATAGATGCATTGCGTCATTTCATACAAAAAAATCATTGCTTTCTAATAGGCCGTTTTGAAGAAAATTGATTGAAAACAAGTTAAGGAATTTCTGAACGGATTACAGTCGCCTCACAACTTTCTTCAAATTATTATCTTTTTATTCAAAGACTAAAAACGATTAGTTATTTCCGATTCTAATCTGAATTTGTTGATTGTTTAGGAAGTCTGTTGTTTGCCGGTTAATAAAAGCTTTAGTAAAAGTGTTCAGTTGTGTTTGTCGATTTAAAAAAAAAATGTTCCTGTAAAGGTTTCTAGCATACTTTATGTTCGTATTTAATTATTTTTTTGTTTGTTTTTGTTTTACATTTTTAAATACATATTCGCATATTAGGTCTACATGACAGATCATAATACAACAAGTAATGCGATCTAAATCACCTACTTGGTATTAATTTTAAGAATACATTTGTAATTAAAGCCAAAAAAGGACTTCTCCGCCCCTAATCGTACAGGTTATATGGTGCTAGTTCTATATATTTATAGAGCTACTGGCCTTTGATTCCTCCTGACGCGGTCAATATAACATAGACCGCCTTTACTTCCTAAAACATTTTCCTGGTGTTAACGTATAGACTGGGTCGATCTGGGAACCCATATCAATTTTAAAACATGTCTTGGTGGAGATTTAATTTGACCTAAATCAGAGTTTTAGCACCTTAGACTCAATACTTATAGGCGATGGAGATGAGGTTATTCAGACAAATGTTAAGAATCCATGGAACTACCAAAGTAGCTAACGAGGATTGCTTGTAATAAGGTAATGGAAAAAAAAAAACACCAGATCAATATATATATATAGCTATAAGGAAAAGACAAGCACTGGACTTTGGTCATGTGATGGAAAATAAAAGGGGTTGGGGAGGGGAAGGGGGAGGGGGTGCTACGGAGAATCTTGTGATAACTGGTAAGATCAACGGTAAAAAAGGAAGAAGCAGACCGAGAGAGATGATGACGGATGGACTGAGACGGTGGCACTGAGGGATATCAGCGACGGTGGCACTGAGGTATATCTGCTACGGTGGCACTGAGGGATATCTGAGACGGTGGCACTGAGGGATATCTGAGACAGTGGCACTGAGGGATATCTGAGACGGTGGCACTGAGGGATATCTGCGACGGTGGCACTGAGGGATATCTGCGACGGTGGCACTGAGGAATATCTGCGACGGTGGCACTTAGGGATATCTGCGACGGTGGCACTGGGGGATATCTGCGACGGTGGCACTGAGGGATATCAGCGACGGTGGCACTGAGGTATATCTGCGACGATGGCACGGAGGGATATCTGCGTCGGTGGCACTGAGGGATATCTGCGACGGTGGCACTGAGGGATATCTGCGACGGTGGCACTGAGGGATATCTGCGACAGTGGCACTGATGTATATTTGCGACGGTGGCACTGAGGGATATCAGCGACGGTGGCACTGAGGTATATCTGCGACGGTGGCACTGAGGGATATCAGCGACGGTGGCACTGAGGTATATCTGCGACGGTGGCACTAAGGGATATCTGCGTCGGTGGCACTGAGGGATATCGTCGGTGGCACTGATCCAGAGGACAGGGGACCGAGATCTGTGAAGATGCATGAACACCAGTCGACAGGGCACGTGATGATGATGTTACTCAATACATCTCATGAAGTGTTTAACAACCCTTTGCTTAATTTCTTTATCTACCCCTCTTGCCTGTATCTGTCAGTCAATTTGTGGACCTAACTACCAAGAATGGGCGCCGGCACAGAAAACATGAGGAAGGGGCGCTTTAAAGGAGGGTGGAGGTGGCCCTTAGCCACTGTACGAACTTTCTAGACATCCTCAAGTGGCTTGAGCGTTTTGTAAGCGCAATAATAATAATAATTATAAAAATAATTATTAATATTATTTACTTTATTAGTCGATCATATTCTACATTGGGGTGTAAAGATTTGCCAGAGAGATGGCCAGATTTCTCTATCAACAATTGTCTGTCTGTTTGTGTTTTATTCCAGTCCTTTGTCAGTCAGGGACTGTTGTATGTTGTCTTCCCAATGAACCTGGGTCGCCTTGGTGGTTGGTTCTTTAGGTCTTGGCATCCTATGTCTGCCTTGGTTCTCCCATTCTATCATAACTGTGGTAATATTAAAAATTATAATCATAATAATAACAGTAATAATAACTGATATTCTTATTTGCTGAATTGCAAATTTATTTTACTACTAGCTGTACCCGGCCACGCGTTGCTGTGTCCCAGAATGCTGAACTGAAAACGTGTCTAATATGGTTAATATCAGTCATTGCACATATAAAGAGATAGTCTGGTATGCCGACTCTAGAACACGCAACATATAAATGAATGATTATATAAGTGGTAGATTAAAGTGCATTGTTAGAGTTTACAGAAATAAAGTTTATTTGTTTATCGTAGGTTAAAGCATCTTGTGTGCTTAAACAGCTGACAGTAATGCTGACTACTTTACCTCTAAATGACCAACCTACCTGCCAAAAAAACAAAACAAAAACCAACCCCCCCCCCCCCTCCCCTTATCACATCTCCCTCTCCGAAAAATTGGAAAATTATCACCTGACAAAATTATTAAAATAGAAATAGTTGAGAAATGAGAACTGTAAAATAATGTTTTAAGCTCTCTCAGTTAACAGTGCCTGTCATCAACCACATTGCCCCCCCCCCGCCCCGCCCCCAATCATATCATCCTCTCCGAAGGATAGAAAAGTCATCGCCTGACAACATATTGTATTTAAATTGAGCTTGTCATTCGTGTCCACCCATACTAAAATGGGTAGCAATATTCTGTACAGAGAAGTAAATGTGGCCAGTGTAACAGCTACCGCATCACCCATCGAGTACCAGTGCTACTGCTACCACTACTACCACCATCTTCACAACAACCGCCCCCCCCCCTTTAAAAAAAAAGCACCACAGTGTAGGTCAGTATAACCAGAGGAGTTAGCGCTGCAATATGTCACCAAGGGCTGTTTAGTGTAATTGTGCCCCCCCCCCCCCGGAAATAAAAAAAAAAAATACACGTTATCACCTGACCAGTGATGGAACCCACAGTAATATTTCGTGATTTAAAAAGTACACTGAACTCAAAAATAGCGAAAATAAAAACCCGCACCAGTCATCTCTCCCTCTCCGAAGAGACGAATATTAAATGACCTTGGCATCTGTGTCGACCCAAACTAAACTGGACTGTAAGCCATATTAGTTGACAGCGTCTGTCATCAACGAATAGTGTTTGATCGAGTGAAGCCTCGCAGATGAGGTTAACTGGGACTGTACTGAAATCGGATGTCTTGGGAGGAAAAGCGCAGATATCGCAGCCTATTTGTAAACCACAAGACAACGTGCCAACCACCTTTGTAAGTGAAAAAGAAAAATTTGCACCCACCGTTGAACTGAACACGGTGACTCTCGTGAAGGGCGGATAACTTACAACTAAACTAATGATAACTTACAACTAAACTAATGCCAACCGCCCTCTCAAGGGCAAACAAAAATTACCTGTGACATGACCACCCAGCATCACGTCGCCGCTATCGCAAGCTAGCTGTAAATCCCAAAAACAGAGCAAAAAAAAGTGCACATATCGCAGCCTAGCTGTAAACCACAACACAACGTACCAGCCGCCTAGTTACGGGCTGAAAAAAAAATATGTCCCCCAACGGGGAATCGAACGCCGGTTACGCGCGCGACAGGCGAAATTTTTACAACTACGCTACCAAAGACTTGAAAATATATGATAATTTGAAGTTCAATGTTACGCAAACAGTGGCTAATCAACTAAAAGCCCATAGCACCCGTGTTGGTGTGCGACACTGCTATATAACAATACGAATGTATTCAAATGCAACGCTGTGGGACAATATGCAAGAAATAGTTAGAGACGTGTTGGCAGATTGACGATGATGTCTGAGGTCTACAGCAGGGCTGCCTGTTTGAAAACCCCAAGCTAAGGTGACCACAAAAACCAAGCAAAACATAAGAAAAAAAAAAAAAAAAAAGGAACAGGAAAACAAATAGCCAAGATTGACAAATAGTAAAGAATTTATACTTTCGACAGGAACAATTTACACACAGTTATGTAAGTATATAATAAGGATATATGAAAACAACAAAGTAAACAACGCTGCAAAATGTGAACCCAAAGCGTCATATAAAATCTGGATCATGGGGGGAAAAGGCTCTTATTGGCAGCACTGCTCAGTAGTAAAAAATGGCCAGTCAACTAAAAACAAATCCGGACCCCTTCTGGAGCTACGTCGTTCGTGGTTTGTGCGATTTTCTGACAAAAGAAACACGCTTTGAGTCAAAGGCAACGTTGTGTGCAAATTTGAAAGCAATGGATTCAGTAGTTTCCGCGTCTATAGGTAACAAACTCGGAAAATTAACATTTTTATTAATATAGATATGTGAAATAAAAGGAAATGTATAAAAAACAAAAACAAAAAACATGAAGTACTTAAAAGAGACCTTTCATGCATAGTAATGGGTGGAGACGCTTTGTTCCTTTAAAAATTCTTCAGTAACAGAGGGAAGACTAGTATCCCATTGGGCTCCAGGTTTCAGTGACCGTCTATCTGTGTCTGGCCTCCAGCGTCTGAGTATGGGCTTATGGATTATTTTGTTTGAAAAAAAAAAACTTTTACCAAACATCAGGGCTTGCTCAAGTTCATATAAGTGTATTTGCGTGTCGTATTGTTGTCATTATTGTAATGCAGGATATTTATATGGCTATGTTTATGTCTTTTGTAGAATGAACGGTACTAAGAACAGTTCAGACCATCTTGGCAATGATGTGGACCAAGATGAAGTCACGCAACTACTTCCACCACAAGCCGTCACTAAAGGAAAAGAAAACATCCTGAAAAGATGCTTTCACGACCGACGCCATAGACGCAAAGTCCTACATTCAGTGTGGCTAGGACTGATCTTCATTTCCCTGGTACTTTTAGATGAGTTTTACTGTAAAAAAAGATTCTTCGTCCACTTGTGGGATGCAATTTTTCGTTATTTTAAACCCCACCCTCGCCTTTGCCGGGGACCTGAATATAGCTGGGCCACAATTGTGGCCAAAGCGGCTGAAAGGGGTTTCTGGGACCTATCCACGGGTGATCCTCATCCACATGGTGGCACTTTGTGTCACCGGGTGTTTATCACTTGTGTGATGTCCTGGTGGGGTACAACAACCAAGCTGTACTGTAAAATAGCTGTTGTCAAAGTTTCGCAGCCATCAAAAGTAAAGCCGAGTAAATAAAACATCTAGCTTGTAATACATGAATTCACCACCAAGTGGTGCAAAACCGACCAGTATGTCTGCCTACTCCTTTCTCAACACACTAGCATAGTTTGGAGAAAATATGCAAAGGACGCTAACTACCCGGAACCTATGAAACAATACTTGCCACTCTGCATGGCGCATGCTTCTCTCCCCCTTTCTCAACACGCTCTGTGAGTCAGTTACAAGTACGACCTGTCTGTACAGCTGATTCTCATTTTGTCTAATCTCTAATCAGGAGCAGATGCAACATTAGCTGAAAATCGTAACTCAACAAATAAACTGCCATCTACATTTGTTTTACGCATGTTTGCACAGTAATAGTTACTCTTGTGATCATCATCCGAACACGAGCAGGTCTTGTTAGTGACACAAATGCCCTCTATAGTACAGTGTAATTCTTCTTCTTCTTCTTCTTCTTCTTCTTCTTCTTCTTCTTCTTCTTCTTCTTCTTCTTCTTCTTCTTCTTCTTCTTCTTCTTCTTCTTCTTCTTCTTCTTCTTTTTCTTCTTCTTTTTCAGCATTCCGAGCCCTTGAGGCACATTGCTGTAGACATCACCCGCCTCCATTCATCTCTTTGGTTGGCCTTCTTTTTCCAATTGATGACACCAAGTGTTTGCAGGTCTGATTGGATATTATCTCTCCATAGTCTTCTTGGTCTGCCTCGTGATCTACGACCATTTATCTCCTTCGTGTTTACAGTTTTAATTCTCTGTCATCTGACATTCTTTCAATATGCCCTAACCATTTCAATCTATAAGCTCTCATGACGCCAGTGATCAGTGGTGATTTAAACAGATTATGAATTTCGTTGTTGCTACTCACTCTCCATTCACCACTGTTTGCATATTTGATGTGTAATCCTATCGTCAGGAAAGATGAAAAGTTGCAAACAGTGATCAATCGCATATTGCATGCGTTCATTAATTTATGTATTTATTCATTTCTTTATTTTGAATTCTTTAAATTATAGTTTCTTGTTAACTTGTTTATTTACAGGGAATGGCGTTGGGTCAAAGTGGACCGACCCTTCTTGACCTACAGATACTTACAAACTCAAATCTTGAAGCGGCTTCCCTCTTCCTCACGTCATCATCTGTTGGGTATTTGGCTGGGTCTATCCTGTGTGGTTTCATTTACGACAGGGTTTGATTGATTTCCATGTGATATTTGTTTGAAATTTGTGAACTGATGAAAGATAATCAGACAAAGAAACTCAAGGACACATGTGTTCGGTTCAGAATCTGGAGGTGGAATGATTACTCATGCACACACACGCACACACACACACACACACACAAAGATACACACACAAAGATGAATATATGGTTGAATGGATGGGTGGATAGATGGACGGACGGACAGACAGTCAGACAGACAGACAGACAGACAGACAGACAGACAGACAGACAGACAGACAGACAGACAGACAGACAGACAGACAGACAGACAGACAGACAGACAGACAGACAGACAGACAGACAGACAGACAGACAGACAGGCAGGCAGGCAGGCAGATAGATAGATAGATAGATAGATAGATAGATAGATAGATAGATAGATAGATAGATAGATAGATAGATAGATAGATAGATAGATAGATAGATAGATAGATAGATAGATAGATAGATAGATAGATAGATAGATAGATAGATAGATAGATAGATAGATAGATAGATAGATAGATAGATAGATAGATAGATAGATAGATAGATAGATAGATAGATAGACAGATAAATAGATAGATAGATAGACAGATAGACAGATAGACAGATAGACAGATAGACAGATAGACAGATAGACAGATAGATAGATAGATAGATAGATAGATAGATAGATAGATAGATAGATAGATAGATAGATAGATAGATAGATAGATAGATAGATAGATAGATAGATAGATAGATAGATAGATAGATAGATAGATAGATAGATAGATAGATAGATAGATAGATAGATAGATAGATAGATAGATAGATAGATAGATAGATAGATAGATAGATAGATAGATAGATAGATAGATAGATTAAATAGATAGATATATAGATAGAAAGATAGATAGCAGCATATGTACATAGCGCTAAAAAAAATCTATACGTTTATACACTTTGTACTTTCCTGATACTTACTCTTTGGACGTTTTCCTCAGGTAAACAAAAATTTATTCCTATTGATTGGCGTCATAGGTCTTGGTTTATTGTCCATAGCGATTCCTTTCTGTGTGAACGTGGTTGCCATGAATTTAGTCCGAACCGTATTTGGCATCTTCATTGGTGTGGTTGACGCAGGTAAGACATTATACAATGTTTTTTTATTTTTTTATTCTTTAAGAACAAAGCAGACATTACTTGAACCCTTGCGTTCTAAGAGATTAAGCTTAAAATTACTAGATACTTCCGTTTAAAGGAGTTTAGCAGACGCACTACGGTATATAAATATTTAAACTAATAATTAAGATATATGTTGAATTAAGATTCGAAATCATAGCATTCGGGACACTCCCATAAGCGCTCTGTCCCCATCTTCAGCAGCAAGCGAAGAGTTCCATTTCCGATGGTACCAGTAATTGACTGATTCTACATCCGTCTCGCCTTTCCCTTGAGTTTTGATGAAAATATGTAAAGGTATGCTAACTATCCGGGACCTCTAAAGCGATGCGTGCCACTCTGCACGGATCATGCCTCTCTTCACCTTTCTCAACTTTTCAGATATAAAGAGGGTTATGTATTGGTCTAGCGGCTAGACGCTCTCCTGTGGATCAGAAGGTCGTGGGTTCATGTCCTCTCAGGGGCCAGACTTTTTTTTTTTTAAATGAGCTTGGCTCGCAGGTCGATCCAGTCTTGAATAGGTAACAGGTACGGTCCAGGGAAGTAAAGGCGACCGGTGTGTTGCTGACCACATTACCCACCAAGTGCCGTTTGGTCTATAAAATATGTTTAGCCCTATATACCTAATATGCCTGAAGGGTGGAAAAAGATCCTTACTATCATGCCAGTCTGTGATATAAGACAATAGTAACATGGTATTATCTGTATAGCGACCAGAAAACGTATAATGATTTGTTTGATACCCAAAGTACGGAAAGAACAAGGAAAGCAAGCACTTTGTGTACCATTTATATTTGGACCGGGAACAAAGTGTTATATGGTGTATCTTGCGCTCTCAAGATCTTTGGTTCGAATTGATACCGCGGCGGATTTAACTGACTTTTGCGTTCTGAGCTTCTTTTCCTTAGTGGGTGTTCGCACAGAGGCACTGCGAAACTGCATCATACCCTATTTTACTTTGATAATAGGGAGTTGCGTGGTCTCGAGGCATGATGACCATATCGAGTGCTAGAGGTTCCGGGTTAAATTCCCGGTAAGGGCTGGGATTTTTGCCCGTGGACTTGGACTTTTAGTAATTCCTCCTGGTCTCTGGGTAGTGAGATTGGACGACAGTGTGCATTGTTGCGCACGTAAAAAAATCCATTGGCAGTCGGAAATCGAAAAGAGTAGCCTAACGGCACTGCAAAGGCAAAATTTAGAGTTAAAAATCTACCCAAAGTATTTCAGGATCCTCGCTGGTCCTGCAGAGCCTGTGTACTGTGCTGAGCTTCTGCGGACTCAGACTTGAGTTAAAAGAAGAATGGAGCACTTATTAGTTACACCTGTGTGCTGTGAGGTTGATCCGTTGTTAAAAACCTCAAAACCTTAAAACCCTTGATAATATCGACAACATTCTATATGAATGCTCTTTTCCCGTTAATTACACACACATACACACACACATACACACACATATGTATGTATGTATGTATGTATGTATGTATGTATGTATGTATGTATGTA